GTGCATAGATATGAACACACAATTAAAAACCCACCTATTAACTACCATTCTTTAGGGTCATGACTGTACTCTTCACCTTGACGTCACTATGCTGAAGAAACTCATCAGATATGTTCCAGGTCAGCTTTTTCCAGCGCAAAGACTCCCCTTGTTCAATCAAACCCTTTTGGTACAGGAACAGGAGGCCAACCAAAGCCTGGCCAAGGACAGGAAGGCCATACATGAAGTGGATGATGCTGAAGAGAGGGAGATGGGATGGCTGAATCAGCTCTAAACAAAATGCACACCAGGCGTTATGTCTCAGCAAGCAAAGGGCTCACTTTTGGAGAGATTATGCAAGTGCCTAAAGTCTCTCCCTCTGCATCAGCGGCTCAGGAACAGGCACCAAAGACAGAGCTCACATGTTTGAACCCAACTGCCATGAACTTACTAGAGCAGAAAAGGGTGTGGGATGGAGATGAGGAAAACATAGGTGTGTTCTCAACACCAGCTGACTCATGCAGTTCCCTACAAAAGGGAACAGAGATATTCCTCAAGTGTCTTTACGCACAGAGATAAGTTCTGAAATGTCTACTGGTTAGTACAGAGGTGTTTTCACTAATAAAACACAAAGCGGAAAAAAAGAAGCATCCTTCTACTTACAAAAGGGATGCACATTAAGGGCTAAATCTTTTTTTCAAGGGCAACAAAATTGCACAGCAAGGACCTTTCTTAGAAAAAAGCCCACCTCACCCTGGCATGGTACTCAGGACACTTCTGTACACACCAGCAGCCTAGCAGGGAAGACAGGGACCAAAACTACACAAAGCAAGTATGTAATTCCTCCACCCTCTCCTTCCTCCGGGCTAAAAACAAGGGGTAGCACATCATTGCTTCCAAAAGTGATTTCTTTCCATAGCAAGAGGTCTGATGGGCACACGCCTACACATTATAGGATTTCTATCTTCTTTCTTAACAAGGGTTCGAAAAGTAAATAAGGTACTGCTACAACACCACTTCAATCTATTTTTTTCCTCCAAAATACTATGTATCTTGCCAAGAGTTGCTCATTGAAAAATTGCTTTAGTACTGATTAAAAAACAGGTTTAAGTCTATATGGGAAAAAGGCTAGAAGACAGAAAAAGTGTGCAATGATCTGTAAATAGAAGAATTATCTGTGTGTCAGACCTGAAAAATTGCAAATAATATTTCTCAAGTATACCTGGAATGGTAGAAGACATCCAATGCTACTTGAAGGATCTGTGCTAACAGATTTGGGATTTTTCAAGTAAAGGATAGGAGCTGGGATCCGGGCCATCTCTTGCAAATAACTCCTCTCATCAATAGCCTTCATCCGTAGTCTTAATAAAGCTTATTGTATGGGGGAAAACTTGGAATTTGTTTGGAGTGAGACAGCAGAACATTGTGTTTGGGGTTGCTGCTCAAACCTAAGATGTTAGACGGAGCAGGATGATGCAACAGGAGAGAAGAGCATCACAGAAAGAGCAAATTTAGACAAGCTGGGAGGCAGAAACAGCTCCGCTGGCAGCACAGTGTGGTTCAGCGTGCAGGATGAGACTTCGCCTGTTGTAGGAGAATTACTCCAGAAGTAAGAGGGCTGACCCCTAAGGAATCACAGAATGGTTAAAGTTGGAAGGAACCTTAAAGATCATCAAGTTCCAACCCCCCTGCCCTGGGCAGGGACATCTCCCACTAGACCAAGTTGCTCAAAACCCCATCCAGCCAATGAATCAGCCAACGTTAACAATGCCAATGTACAACTTTGCTGCCATAATCGAAAAACATGGTGATAAAGACTGTTGTTGTTTCTTTTCTAGTGGTCATTTTCTGCAGGAGCTAGAGTAAAACACTGCTGTCATCCAAACACCCTGCTGTTGTTCACCAAGCCCTGCTCGGACAACTGGAACAAATGCGTTTAGGCATACAACCTTTGAAAAGCAGGCTAACGGGCCACAGATGCTGCCAGATATCACACATTTTACACTTTGCTCTGAAGGTGGTCATTTACAGCCTGAGCCCAGGGGCCTGCCAGCCTGAGCACACAGGCTCCTACCTGCTCCACCGCTGATCTTCCCTGCCAGGGGGCAAAGCAGTCAGCATCGAGCTCATCATTACCTAGAAAACCAGTATTGCAAAGAGACTGCACCAGTAAAAGCCTGGTCAAGCTGCACGCGGTGGGAGCAGTCTTCCTTCTATCTCATTCTGCATCGTGACCACTGCACACATTTCATATAAATGAATGGGGGGGGGGGCCCAGACATTGGGATACATTGTCTTTCCCTGCCTAAAAATCCCAAATTTGCAGTTATTTAGATCATCAGTGACTTCACCTAATCTTAAGGCAAAGTTCTGGATAATTCAAGAATATTACTGGAGAAAAATGATTCTGACAAATTACTGTGATCTACATGGCAGTTCTAGGGAAACAGGGAATACAATTAGGGGAAAAAATTACAGTATTACAGTTGTTGCATTTTCCTTTTAAACATCAGACATGATATGACACCATGCTGGAAATTGCTCCATTTTCAAATACTGAGACAAACAACACACATTGTTGCGTTTTCATCTGCAATTACCTGTTTGTATCTCTAACACCTGCTTCCAAAAAGACCTCTTTTCGAGTAGCCGCTCCCCATCCGCGTGCATTCACTGCATGAGGATGTCCCACCTCAACTTTTTTTTTCCATATATATATATATATATATATATATTAAGGTCAGAGTGCATCTAAACTACTTTCACTGAGATCTGTTCAGTCTTGTTTCCGAGACCTTAATCTCAAAAACATTGGCATCCTTTCTGGATTAGCACAGCAGAATTGTATCATCAATAGAGCAGGAACAATGGTGGAAAATTCTCTGCAAAGCTTCAGTGGAGAAAGAGCCTTAGCTTTTAATGCTTAAAAGCTCTGCAGAGTTCTTCATTTGGATACTTTCACCCCATCTGGTGAAAATTGTTTTGTAAACATAAAACTGTACTTAAACGTAATTTCATTCCTGTTACGTAATTTTACTTGTCCTAGTTGCGTATCTTTAATCTGTGCAGCTGATCTAGTTTTATCGTTAAGCCAATAAGGGCTGCAATGATTACATATCTCGCAGTTACAGAATCATAGTAACACTGATTTAGGAGACCATCAACTCTACCCTCCTTCCCAAAAGCAAGATCTTTACCGCACTTTTGCCATTCTGACAAATATTTGTCTGATCCATTCTTAAAAATCTCTAAGAAGAGCCTTGCAACCTGCCACGTCAGTCCCAGGCAGGGCTTGACTACTTCAAAGGAATCACTGAGAATTTTTTTCACTGTAACCTAGATCTGCCTTGCTGTTATCTCAGCTTACGACTTCTCGCCCTACCCCCAGTGGACATAAGAGAACAGATTGTTCTTTTCCTCATAGCAGCAGCCTTTTATCTATTTGAAGGCTTACCACAGCTTTCCTCAGTTTTCCGTCCTCTCAACAGGCTCAGCAAAAGTCATGTGTTCAAAGACTCTGATCATTATTGCCACCTTTTTCTCCAAATCATTCATATTTCTCTGTGGAGCCCAGGAAGGGACATACTCTTCTAGCACAGTTCATCAAAGCAGCATTCCTGTGTTTGCACTAACGGCATTTTCTTACCTATATGGACCTGCATGATGTTTGCTCCTTCTAAAACAGCAAGATGTTAAGGACTCCTATTCATCTTACGACCCACGGCAGCCCCTCCATCCTTTACCTTCCCTGTACAGCCAGCTGCCCAGTTCTTCCCAGTCTCGCAATTCTGAAGTTGGTTACAATAAAGTGTGCATCATGCACCTGCTACCGAACTGCATCCTATTTTTTTCCACAGAGCTCTCATTTTGAAACCTAGTTCTTCATGTTTATTCTGCCTTCAAACTCGATCTCATCTTGAAATGTAGTAATTACACTCTCTTATTTCATCATGGATGAGTAATGGACCCAGGGTAATTCCCTGTACAAGCACTGATATCAAGTACATTTTTCCTCAACCAGTTCCACAACTCCCTTAGAGCGGTATCATCTAGACTGGTTTCCCAGTTTATTATTAGAATATCCTGCAAGCCAGTGTCAGAAGCTCTACTAAAAATCAAGATATATGACCTATGCTGCTTCTCCCTTATCTGCAAGCTCTGTTATGCTGCCAGAAAAGGAAATTAGATTGGCTCAATTCATTCACAACAAAGCCATACTGGCTAGCATTCACCTTCTCGTTTCCTTCTAGATGCTTATAAATTGTTTATTTTCTCTCAGACTTGAAATTAAACTCACTACTCTATTGCTCCTTAGTATACCTGGGAGTCACTAATCTCTCCCGATTCCCCCCACTTGCCTTTTTGTTGTTGTTGTTGTTATACTTGAGCTCTTAAAAACCTCACAGGCGATGGAGTTTGAAGTTTCACAGGAGCCAAACCATGAGACCTCAAACCACAATTCCTCAAGGGGATTAAGAGTATGGCAAAGTACTGCAAATGCACTTCTTCCTGGATTCCAGACAGATATGAGGGAAGGCCCCACAGCACCTGAATGAGGCAGGATTGTCATCCCCTGCAGCGGGGAGCACCTTCCTTCCACCCTTCAGCCCCCCAAAAAAGGGAGGAAGGTCACAAAGACTCCTCACATGGCAACTAAGTCACCCTACCCTGAAGAGGCCCAAATGATCTCCCTTCAACTCCTCACACGCCTTCCCAAACCCGTGGCTCTTCCCCGGCACTGCCCACCTGACACAGACCTTAACACAGGAGGCCTGGCCCAAACCAGCCCCACCTTACACCCGGGGGGCCTGCAGACACCAGCCTCACGCCCCTTCCCACACAGGCAGCCGCGACCCCCCCTTCCCCTCCCTCACAAGGCGACAAAAGCACCGGGAATGACAAAAAAAACCCCTCCCCGGGGACGACTGAGCACCTCCCCTCACTCTCCCCGCTCCCTGAGGAACGATTCCCCCCTCACAGCGCACGCGCGCTCCCGGCACCCGCCTTTGTC